CCCTGTGTCAGTCGTTCAGTAGCTGCGTGTCCTTTTTATTCTTCCTGCGCCAGTGTTTAATATTATGACGGCGGCATAATCCCCCAGAACACTAAAAGTGCAAAATCAAAGAGTTTGAATTACCATATTCGTAGCAATCGAGCGAAAACCACGAAACAAATGTAAGCTCCAAATGTTTTTATTTGTCGTTTTTGTTTTATCAAAATTCCATAATTTTTCCACAAACAAATAGCTTCTTCATATGCATCAACTGTAAATGGTACCACAAAAAATGTATAAGGCAAACAAACACACCGAAAAAATAGCTCAAATTGGGCCATCCATTCTCGAGTTATGCGCCGTATGACGCAACTTTGGTATACATGTACATATACATATTTATAACAATCAGGGGTTATATTCGATGTAAATAAGCTTGTTTAAATTAAGTAGTTAAATCACTATTATTCCCACCTTTTTGTGGACTATAGCTAACCTTTGAGGAAGTGTGATTGAATTCTTCCCCTTTTTCTCCTGCTTCCACAAACCATCCTTGTGGGTGGGAGTGTAAAATTTTGGAAAAAAGCTACTTACAATACCTTTCATTATTGAATCATGATCTATACTTAAAGCTCAGTTATGCAAGACTTAGACTTGACTTGAAAATTGTATATCTGGCAAATGAGCAGCGCGTGTGTGTAGTTGTCCAAAAAGCAACTTCACTTAGAAACTTGAACTATAGATTTTAGATTTCCAAATTAAGTTTCTAAGTGCAAAGAGAGCCGTGAGAAAATAATGCCGCCATATCATTTTTACAACTACTTTGAATAAAACTCGTACAATATTCCATACAAAATTGATTTTTTGTATAAAAGCAATTTATATGGCAATCCATATAGGTAGTACTTCCATATTGCTAGTAAATTCAAAGTACATTCCCCAACATCAGAGTGTCGATATATTCACAAAAGAAAGAGAGATCCGATAAGAGAATGTACTCAAACTGACATTTTTACTTTTCAAAATTCAGGAGCGGTTTAACAAATTCTTATTAAAAATAATTCACATGAAAAATTAACAAAAAATACAATATTTGTATATCTATGAGAAACACTGCAGCCGCTGTGGTGGCAGAGGATAAAGGTACCAGTTACAAAAGGACTTGGCATCAATCAGTTGGCATTTCCAGTTGGCGTCAACAAGCCCAGAACAGAAACGAATAGCGTGCTTTATTGGATTCGGTCAACTATCATGGCTTGTGCAGCATGTGGAAATAAGTTTTGCCTTATGGCGATTTCTTTTCTACAAAAACTGTTGCCTGTTCAATGCCCTCTCCTTAGAATTTGTGCGTAACGGCATTGAGAAGGCAACATATTTCGGTAGAAAAGAAAACGCCATTAGTTAGAAAAACACCTCCTTTTTCCAATTTTTCGAATATCGAGAAAACGAAGAGCTTCGAAAAAAGTCGACATATCGAGCCCTAACCGCGAAAAATTTAGGGTTTTTTTTTTCAAAACTTACTTCTTGAAGCAGAAATACTCTAGGACCTAGAGTCTAGATGAACAAAAATCTGACAGAGAGTAAATATTTAGAAAACGAAAGCAAATTTTCGCCGAAATGCCTATTCAGAATAAGAAAACAGGCGCAAAGTATAATGCTTCGATTCCGAAGCGCCCCGCTAATGAGAAATTGGTCATTTATTTTTCTTTTATTTGCACTTTTAGCGGTGATAGCAGTAAATTACACATCATATTCGCTGTAAAAAATTTCGAATTATGGCCCGGCCATGCGTTCTTCATGTTGTCAAGTCAACTCCGCACAGGTGCAAAGACAGTCTAAGAGCGTTTATGCATCAAAATTTAATTTTGAACAAAATTCGTTTGAGTTAACTGCGGTTTGAAGGAAACATGAGACCGTAAAATTTTATATTTGTTTGTTTAATTCTCTGAACCGCCCCTGTTATGATATGGCACTTCATTTTATGTAGTAGTTTACAAATATACACGTATACTTCTACAA